AGTTGACATCTTTAAACCTACAAAGTCTAGTATAATGATCAAACCTCTCAAATATTATACTTAGACAAATACGACCAATATTAATTTTACAATCTTTTAAAGATCATGAGACAAATAGTCTATTTATGGTCTACTAATGATGTCTTTATCATTAAAGCACTCAATTAAACAAGTTCCTAATTAATTTGTAGTTTATGATCAATTTAGGTCATTACTTCCAAGGAGCAAGTTATGGGTTTTTCTAGGCAGAAATTTAGGTGATAAAAGATGCAATAAAATGGACCTAAACTAAAATGTAAAATTCTAATTTTAAATGTAAGATACAGATGTCCTAAAATCTATATTAAAATTAAATTAAATGAATGCAAATGCAATTCATTGGGGGATTTTTTAGAAGGCGAAATTAAAATGATAAGTAAAGAAAATTAACTAGAGAGAAAATAAAATTAACAAGTAAAAATAAGGGGTTTCTCTTCAAGTACGGTAGAGGAAACAGTTTATGATTCGCATGGAGTTAATTTTCATAACCTAATTAATTAATTAGACAAAAAGAAAGTGGCAAGAGAGTGGAATTAATAAGTTTAATTATTTTCTTGAAACAAAAGGAACTGTCAATTTCAAAAATCCTTAAACCGTTATAGAACTCAAAACGATATAAGGTTGATTAGTTAAACTTTTTGAAAACAATGACAAACAATTCAAATTAATTCTGGAAATTATGCTTAGAATTATCTAATTAAACAATTAGATAATTTACAAACTCAATTAAATAATCAAGAGACAAAAGAACTGTAAATTTGTAATTCAGACCACACTGATAATTAAATCCATAATGAAAACTCAATTATAAATTCAAATAACAATGCAAGGGTTCAGAACCATAAATTCCAACAAATATCTCAGCACAAATATAATCATAGTATCAATCCAACCCAAGAATAAAGATGACAATCTAAAACTAAATTATCTCACAAAATTAGAACTTATTCTTAGACTAAAAAGATAAATAGAACATCATTATCTTATGGTCTTCAAGTGCTAGTTTAAGACTCAAGCCTTCTCTATATTCCTTCCAAGTTGCCTCCCAAGCAAGCTCAAATCGTCATCAAAATGCTTCCTCTTCCAAAGTTGTTAGATGCCACGGCCATAAATTGAAGGAAGGTGATGATGAGGTGTACATAGGAATAGAATCCTTGCGTCATTGGGGGGTGGGCGCCCCGGGGGGGAGATGAGCGTGAAGGGGAAATAATTATTCAATTCAAGATGGGCTGCGTGACATCTGAGTGAGGGGAGTATGTGGGAACTACGCAAGAATGGAGAAGTTGAATAATTCCTTTGATCGAGGGGGGCAAGTATAAGATCATGACCATAGGATGAAGGGAGTATTTTAATGGGAGAAAAAAGGATTTTTTTAATTCAAAATTCAAGCTCATTAGTAATTAATTGACCAACTTAATATTAGCCATTGGATTGTGCTTGAATTACAAGAAATAATCTTGCAATATTGGATCTCTTATATACTCTTCCTTAACCTATAAGAATTTAAATGCATCCATTAATGTAGATTTTATCCAAATATAATATAATATGTATCAAAATTAAATATTAGATATGTACAAGAATAAGGCAAGAAATTACAAAACTTTCTAAAGATCAATCTTTCTAAAAATATGAGACTTATTTTCAAAGAAATAGGCAATATTAATTTCAAACTGAAAATAGGAAATCATAAAATGTTTATATTTTCAATCCAAAATCCCAATTTTTATGAAAAATCCTAAAAAAATTAATTAATCCAATAATACATAAAAATTCATTTAAACTCAAAATTATCAATTAAATTCTAGATTAATGTGGGATAAAATGCATAAAATTAGATTTTATCATCTACCAACATATGGATCATATTGTGATCTCTTGACATGAGGATCACACAAGAATCTTTTATTTGCATAGCTAGTAAAATTAGTCACATTCAAATAAAATAATATCACTTCTATAATACCTTTAAAATAACAAAAAATATGCTTTAACTTTATTCCAAAGTCTATATCATGCTAATTAGCAAATAATATATCAGGTTATATGTGCATGGCTAGTGATGTCACTAAGATATGATATTTCTAGACTAAGTATTTATCCATCACATTCTCTGGATCTAAATGGATCTTTAATCCACATCTAAAGAACTTGTAATTACCATAACACAAGATGAATGTAATTTATCCACATAAAAGTGCTGTAAGACTTTTTTTTTTTAAGTTTCTTAATCCATATTCTAGTTTGTAATCCAAGATAATCTTTTTTTTTTTTTTTTCAAACCTTTCATTTCAAATTATTTCTTTAAATAATTCACAACTTTTGAAAACTCTTTAGGAGTTTCGATGCTATCAATATAAATAGCATTAATATATAAAAGTAGAGTACAAAACAAGATTTAATAGCAAGCCGACACGTGGTAGCTCCATTTCTTAGATAAATGTTTTTTATTTTTTATTTTTATCAAAGTCACATTTCCACCCATGATCAATTTATTGCAATTTTCTCCTATAATGAGCCATATTTTTTTCTATTTTTTGTAAAAACCAAAATACCCATTATCCGTAAATATTTTAAATTAAGAAAATAAATAAAATCATATAACTTATCCTGAAAGTCATGACATATATGCCGAGCATTATGTGTGTTCAAAATTTGAAATCTATATTAATTTGATAGTATTATTTAAAATTAACTATGCTTGAAATTTAATTTTGACTGATCTATTAATGTATTGAAAATAGTATCCTGCTCCCCAAATCTAAGCTGTTATTTATAGCTGAAATATCTATTATTTTATTTTTTTATTTATGAATTATTTTGAAATCTAATTCAAATGAAAAATTATTTTAATTTTGATACTTAGAATTAAAATTTATTATAAAATAAAATAAATATTAATTTTTAAGAAAAACAATTGATGTCTTTATGGATTAGCTTAATCAAAAAACTGAAATTAAAACTTAAACATATTAGTTGAGATATTTTGTTTATTGCTATTATGTAACTTTAACAATAGGAACTACTCAATTTCCTAATATATTGAATAGTGAACCTATTTTATTTTTGATATGATATTTGTCTACTACTAATGATCTCAGACAGTGAATTTCCTAATTATCTTTAGGATAATCAACATATTTTATGTTTTATATTAAATACCTCATTGAATCTTAACTCCATGAGGTATGCAGATTTTGGAAGGAAGCAGGTGTGCATCCAATGTTTGTGTATGGTGGGGGAGGGTTATGAGGGCTTATGATAGTTACTCAATTACTACAATTATTTAAATACCTATGAATGTTGCTGTGCACACTCCTTCTTTTCCTCTTTCTCATGGACTATGAAGATGACATGGCCATGTACTACAAATCACTACCACAAGATTACATTAGAAGTCTTATTTTATTATTCTCTATGGTGGTGGCCATGAGGCTCCATTTTGACTTGTGGCAAGGAAGATGACAATGAATTGGTTAATCTCTAGGCAGGGTAGACAAGCCTATTTAGAGCAAGGAGCATGGGATGGCATACATGCTATAGAATTAGTTTCCAACTATTGCTTTACCTCATTGGCTCATCATCATCTCTACCTCAAGTATTTATATATCCATATCCTAACTTTTCCATACCAAATGAAGAAGATAGGAGGGAGCTACGAATTGAGATGCAGAACACCGTCTTCAAATTTGTGAAAAGGAAATGACATGTCTAGTCTACAAGTTTATTTTTTTTTTCATATTTTGTTTTGTTCTCTTTGTCCAAGTGTTGTTCCATATTTCCTCTTTGTTGCAATAATTGATTCATGAATTTAGAATGTATTAACCATTACTCAGAAGTTGCATTCTAGTCCTTTGGAAGTAATCACCATGGTAGTGGAGGAGAAGTTGGTGGAAATTGATAGAAGGAAAGAGGCTTGGGCATTGTGAAGTTTCTAATAGAAAAGAATACTAGGAAAGTCATGCTTGTGATGAGGTAGTTGAGGATGCTCAAGTATCTGCCTGTATTGTAGAGTAACCTCTATCCTTACTCTATTTTCATCATATTTTAGCTTTTTTTAGGGATGAAGTTTCAATATCATTCTATGTCATCCAATTGTTTGGAAGTTCCAGCATTTTAATGTGTGAGTACCATATAATTGATTAGCCTGAGATGTTGATATTTTTTGTGTGTTTATAATATGATTTTGTATTGTAATATTCCTTTCAAGAGATTGCATGATGTTTGAAGTTTTGTCTTGTATAATTGAATATAATGCTACCAAAGTTTATTTAGCATACATTTCAAGTTCCAGTTTGCAACCCTAGGTTATTATTGTAGTTCTTCCTTATAGTTTTTTTCGTCTTCATAAAATATTTCTTGAATACAAATATTTTGATATTGTTTTTGTAGTTTTATATTATTTTAAGTCTATATTTGAAGATTTCTACCCTAGACAAAACACAGCGTATTGAAAACTGAATTCTCATTACTAAACGAAATTGTTACATTGCCATTGAGCTCATATCAAATGTCTAGGTCTAATGCCTATTTATAGACCCAGACTAAAACCAAAGAAATAAAGAAAGAAAACAAGAATAAAACACTATCTAACTAACTGAGTTCAGATGTATCAAGCAATACAACCTAGCCCAACTAACTCTAAATATGTACAACATTAATTCCTATTTCTTACACTCCCCCTCAAGTTTGGGGTTGTACATGTCCACAGTCCCTAACTTGCTTAACAATTTTCTTTGAATTTCTCCAGAGATAGCCCTAGTGAGAATATCTGCCTGTTGTTCACACGACCTTACATGCCTCAAATCTATAAGCTTTGATTCCCACTTTTCTCTTATGAAATGACAATCCACTTTAATGTGTTTTGTTCTTTCATGGTAAACTGGATTAGCAGCAATATGAATAGTAGCTTGACTATCACAAAATATATTCACAGGACATTCATGCAAAATATTCAAGTCTCAAAGCAATACTCTTGTCGAAACTATCTCAAATGTAGCCATGCTGAGAGCTCTATATTCAGCTTCTGCTAAAAATTTTGACACTGTGCTCTGCTTCTTTGCTTTCCACATTACTGAAGAGCCACCAAATTTCAACAGATAGCTTGTTACTAATCTCCTGGTAATTCCATAGGAAGCCCAGTCTGAATCACAGAAACATTCCAGCACTGGTTCTCCTTCTGAGCTAATAAGTAGTCCCATTACAGGACACCCCTTCAGATATCTTACAACCCTTTTGCTGCTACCATGTGCGCCTTAGTTGGATTATGCATAAACTGATTTAAGGTCTGCACACAAAAAAAAATGTGTGGATGAGTCATAGTCACATAAAGGAGCTTACCAATCAACTTTCTATACCTCTTTGGATTGCCAAGTAACTCATCTTCCTTACCCTTTCTTTCATCATGAGGCAACAATTTAAGATTTTGAGGCATAGGAATAGCAAGAGGTTTACACCCACTCATCCCTGTCTCACTTAGCAAGTCAAGTATATATTTTCTTTGACACAGTATTATGCCTTTTTCAGATTTTGCTACCTCAATACCAAGGAAATATTTCATTAAACCAAGATCTTTGATTTTAAAACTATTATGTAAGAAATCTTTGGCATTTTGAATTCCCTTTTCTGAACTTTTTGTTATTAGGAGATCATCAACATATACTAGGATAAGAACAATTCCATCATTGAAATTCTTGATAAATAATGAGTAATCATTCTTACTTTGAGAGAAGCCGCCTCTTACCAAGACCTTTGAAAGTTTTTGATTCCACTACCTAGAGGCTTGTTTTAATCCATAGAGAGATTTTTTTTTTAGTTTGCACTCCATGTTCTCCCCCTTACTTTCAAAACCTTGAGGGATTCTCATATAGATCTCTTCATTCAGGTCCCCCCTACAGAAAAGCATTTTGTACATCCATTTGTTAGAGATTCCACCTATTCATTATAGACAATTTAAGGACTAGTTTAACAGTAAATATCTTTACAACTAGGGAAAAAGTTCTCATGATAGTCAATACCTTCCCTTTGACTATAACCCTTTGCTACCAACCTAGCTTTATACTTTTCAACACTCCCATATGAATTATACTTGATTTTATACACCCATTTACATCCTATGGGTCTTATATTTTTAGGTAAAGGTACAATATCCGAAGTTTTGTTATTTTTAAAAGCCTTTATTTCAGTTCTCATTACACTTACCCATTTTTCACCTAAAGCAGCCTACTCATAACTTGTGGGTTCAGTCTCAGAATCAGTAGAAGAAAGAAAGCACAAATAATCAGAGGAAAAACCATCATAAGCAATGTATTTATGAATAGGATACTAACATCTACCTTGTTTGGTGGTGGTAGTAGAATAGATATATTCCTTTGACCATATAGGAGGACGCCTTTCCCTTGGAGGCCTTGGCTGGGTAGTGATTTGCTGATTAATCATTTGCTCAGGATGAGTACTCTCAGCAACTTCTTGCTATTCATTATGATCAGTTCATGGCTCTCCATTATTACTTTCATCATTCAGTGCGGGTCTTAATGGACTCTGTTCTAGTTCATACGAGAACATTTCCTTTAAAGTATGATGGACTCCCCCTTGCCCCTTACTTATAGCATCCTATAAGAAAAATTTTCTTCATAAAAGCTAATATGTCGACTCACCATTAGATTTTTATTTTTTAAATCTAGAAGAAGAAATCCTTTTTGATTTTCAGGATATCCTAAGAACACACAAGGAATAGCTCTTGATTGCAATTTATCAATAACTTTAAGATCTGTTGCATAAGCGAGCGACCCAAAGACTCTTACGTTGTTTAAATCTAGTTTAGTCTTGTAAACCTTTTCATAGGGAGTTTTAAAGTCAATTATTTTAGAAGGTATTCTATTAACCAAATAAATAGCCATCTTAACAAATTCTCCCCGATATTGAATAGGAATGCTAGATTGTAGCATCAAACTCCTATGGAGCTGCATTATAGTTCTATGTTTTCTTTCAACAACCCCATTTTGCTAAAGTGTACAAGGGCATATAATTTCATGAACAATACCTTTTTTTTGAAAGTAGAGTTTCAAATCACGATTTTTAAATTTTGTCCCATTATCACTCCTTATCCTCTTTGCATAATCAGATTTGTTTTTCATCAAGAAAATCCGCGTTCTCCTAGAGAAATCATCAACAATAGTGAGAAAATATTGATACCCTTGATGGGTTGGTGTTCTATAAGGACCCCAGATATCAATGTGTAAAAGTCCAAAACAATTAAGTGTCCTTATATAGCTAGAATTGAAGGGAAACTGGGTTTGTTTAGATTGAACACAAATATTACAAGTCTCATTCAAAACACTACCATGTTGAATTACAAAATCAAGATGCTTCATTTCAGACAAAGGGGCATGCCCCAATCTCTTATGCCATAGAGCAATATCAGAACAGTTATATAACCTATAACTATTTTGGAGCACATTCACAGCATGACAATTCCTAGCAACTTTTAGAATATAAAGACCACCAAATTCTTTACCAATAAGCTTTATCCTCCCACCCCTTCATCAAGCAAAAGTCATGAAAAAAAAAAAAAAAGAAGCCATACATTTATGTTCCTTAGTAAGTCTAGCTATGGAGATCAGATTAAACTTCAATTATAGAGCATAGAGGATATCCACTAATAATATTTCATCTAATATTCTAGCCTTGCTTTTATGTGTGACGGGAACATGTTTTCCATCTGGTATTTTTATAGATTTAATAGGTCCATGATATATTTGATGATTTTCTAAAAGATTTAAGCTACCAACCATGTGTGTTGTGGCTTTAGAATCCAAAATCCAATTGGTATAAGATACATTATGGGTTGCAGGAATAGCCAAATCAGTACCAGTAAGGGCGTGCCTGGTAGGTTCTGAATCTTTTTGCAGCAGATCCAGTATTTTCTGGTATTATTCATATGTGAATGTAGAAGCAACTGAAGTTCCTTCATTGGTGTGAGCCTCTGAATCTTGTGTTAAATCCAGAGTGCTTTGGTTAGGTTGTTTATTCCAAGGAACAAAAAACCGGACCGGTCAATAAATCGGTTGAGACATTGGGTCAAAGGTTAATAGGTCAGACCAAGGTTAGCCCGAGTTAAACCGGTAATAATTAAAATAATATCATTTAATTAAAATATGTAAGAATATTCCTATTTTAACAAAAAAAGTAATATTTAATTAATTAATTAATTTTTTCCTTTTAATCCTCTCTTTTCTTCATAAATTAAAACTTTTTCTGTTTTTATTTTTTTACTTTTATTTCACATCCTCTATCTTCAGTCACGTGGCCTGCTTTACTTTTTCAAGTTTTCAGTTTTTTTTTTTATTCCTCCACTCTTTGCCTCCTACCACATGGACCCATCATTTCAAGTTTTCACTTTTTGTTTTTATTTTTCTCCACTCTTTCCCTCCTGCTGCAGACCCATTAAATCACACCATTGCCTTTTGTTTCACACTTTCACTCCTCTGCACCTACACGCCGATCTTATCTCTTCTCACCAACCCTTCACTCTCTTCTTTGTTCTCTCTTCATCCTTACCTTCAAATCTTCAATCACGGTCTCTCTCTCCCCCCTCTCTTTTTCCTTATCTTCCATGAGCAACATGAGCTGAGTCGGTGGGTCGAATACTGAGATGAAGATAGATAGTACTAACAGTGGCGGTGATAGAGCAAGAAGTAAAGAGTGAAGACCACGGCTTAGCAATTAACAGCGGCAGTGACAGAGCAAGAAGTGAAGAGTGAAGACCACGGGTTAGCAACAATGGACACAGATAAGTTCTAGCATTCTAGATAGACTAGCAGAGAGATTTAGAGTTTCTTTTCTTTCTTTTTTTTTTTTTTAGTTTTTTCTCCAAATATTCACTGTGTTTAATTTTCTAAAAAAATTTTTACATGTAAAATGAGCTCATTTCCTGAGGATGGAAAATTGAAATAATCAAACCAGTAACCCATCTTAACCGGCGATTTACCCGATTCTTACTGGTTGAATCAGTTTTTAATCAGTTTGAACATTGTCTGGTTTTCCAGTTAAACCGGCCCGTCTGGTCTAATTTTTTCTTCGTTGGTTTATCCTGTCTGCCTTTGTTACCCCTAAAATTTGCAGGATAACCTATTTTGGAAACAATTGTCTATAGTATGCCCCTTCTTTGTACAATGAGAGCATTTTGGAGCATTCTCTCCATGACCTCTGCCTCTCCCACACCTACGGCCTCTTGTTGCCCTGGCGATTCCTTCAATAGGAGAATTCCTTTCATCATTTACAATAGACTTTTGTGCTTCATCTTGAATAATCATGGAATACGCCTTATTGACTATTGGGAGAGGGTTTATGAGAAGTATTTGACTTTTGGCCTGAGTGTACAAATCATTGAGCCCTAACAAGAATTGAAGTAATTTTTGTTCTTGCATGATCAGGCATATGTACGAGATGTTCACAAGTACAGGATGGAAGAATTACCAATGCAAATTACTCCTCCCATAGCTCTTTCAACTTGGAGTAGTACACCAACACAGATAATGACCCTGGTCTCTGAGAAGTAATTTCCCGATGCAGAGTGAAAATACGAGCACTATTCTTCTTGTTGAATCTTTCTTTAAGATCGAACCACACATGATGCGCATTCTGAAAAAAAAATCCCATTTGCAAGTTCCTTTGATATTGAATTGAGTATCCATAAAAGAACAATGGCGTTACATCTTTCCTATTGTTTGTGTAATCCCTTATTGCATGTTCCATCAATGAACCCTCATTTATTCTTCCCAAGAAGAGCAATCCTCATAGCTTGACTCCACACGGTATAATTTTCAGTGCCTGTGAGCGTATGATGAACGATGGAAGCTCCTTGAGTATCCGATGGGTGTAGGAATAAGGGGTGAGTGAACAGAAGTGCATTGGCGGTTGTCTTCTCATCGATCATTTTAATACAGAGAGCTAGGGCTTCATGGAATGGTGAAGGCAAACCTTCGACTCTAATACCATGAAGACTTCTACCCTAGACAAAACGCAGCGTATTGAAAACTGAAATTCTCATTACTAAACAAAATTGTTACACTACTATTGGGCTCATATCAAATGCCTAGGTCCAATGCCTATTTATAGGCCCAGACTAAAACCAATGAAATAAAGAAAGAAAACAAGAATAAAGAACTATCTAACTAATCGGGCTCATATGTATCAAGCAATACAACCCAACCCAACTAACTATAAATATGTACAAGATTAATTCCTATTTCTTACAATATTGTTAGTTCTTGATTTAGAATCTCTTTTTTTTTTATAATGGGAATTGCTTATTTGCATGCTATAGAACTCTCTTTAGACAGGGCGACTAAGCTTGAAATTATTGCCCATGGCAACTACTTTTAACTTTACAAGAGTATATTTTTGTGTGGTTTTCAAAATAGTTTAACTCACTAACTATGTTGCTTCTATTAATTTTTCTTA